TGATTCTGCCCCTCTACTCCACTCTCGTGAGACCCCACCTGGAGTACTGTGTCCAGCTCTGGAGTCCCCAACACAAGAAGGACACGGACCTGCTGAAGCATGTCCAGAGGAGAGCCACGAAGATGATCCGAGGGCTGGAGCACGTCTCCTATGAGGACAGACTGAGAGAGTTGGGGCTGTTCAGCCTGGAGAAGAGAAGGCTCTGGAGAGATCTTATTGAGGCCTTCCAGTACCTAAAGGGGGCCTACAGGAGAATTGGGGAAGGACTTTTTGCTAGCGCATGTAGCGATAGGACGAGGGGGAATGGCTTTAAATTGGAAGAGGGCAGGTTTAGATTAAACATTAGGAAGAAGTTTTTCACTTTGAGGGTTGTAAGGCACTGGAACAGGTTGCCCAGAGAGGTTGTTGAGGCCCCATCCCTGGAGGTCTTCAAGGCCAGGCTGGATGTGCCCTTGGGCAACCTGGTCTTCTGGGAGGTGTCCCTGCCCAAGGCAGGGGGGTTGGAACTCGATGATCTTCAAGGTCCTTTCCAACCTAAACCATTCTATGATTCCCAGGTAATCCTGAATTGTTGACCTAACTTTTCATGAGTACTTTCTTTTTAGTTTTATGACAGTTGGTGTATTGTACTTAACTTGAGAGGAAGTGAAGCACAAGTATTAAGCTAGGTCACACGACAGAAGATTCATCTAGCAAGCTGTGATGATGGAAAGGATCTACAGTATGAAGCCTAACTCAACCTCCCAAATAAATGCCAGCATACCCTGGGAATGTCTGTCTTATTGCAAGGTTCCTTTGAATTTGGCCCCCCTGAGTGACATACAAGTTCAATGCAGTCATGTTATTGCCTTTTTCCTGCTCTGACTCCATGCTTTAGAGCTGGTGGCACATGGGATCGGGGAGTGAGTGGGTATTATGGTGCAAAATCTGTAAGATGAGTCCTGCTCCTCAGCAGTTTGGTATAGTGGTTTCATGCTGAATGTATGAGAGGGAAGATCCAGTTTCATCAGGAAGTGCTTTCTTATGTAAACCTTGAATAAAAAAAATTAGTCATAGTAGTTTTAGTAATTAATCCTTCCTTTACTTTACAGGAGGGCATGTTTTTATCTGTTGGAAGTTTTTTTTTTTTCCCTTTTTCTTGTGAATGTTCTGGTGGGAGGGGTCTACCTATTTTGCTGTAACGTTTACTTTTGTATTGTAAGCTTTAAATTGTGCAGTACTAACCATTGTGTGGTAGCTGCCTGTGTATATATCTTTATGTATAGTAAACATAAGAACTTTATTCCTCAACGTCCATTTTCTGTTGGTGGGTATACACATGTACTCCACAAACATCCTTTTTTGCTGACCTGTCCACAGTCCTCTTCCAGGTCTACCAGGGCAATAGTTGTGGGACCTCTTCTCAACTCGCTGTACTACAATTAAGTTGGTTTTCTGTAAATGCAGGGTGTATTTATTTGAAAAGTTCTGTTGGCAGATTGGCAATGTCAAGCTGATGAACAGAGGCTGGTCATAAAAGTATCATCTTCTATCCCTCGTGCACTGTCCAAAAGATACTGTCTGTCCACAGCATGAGTTGAAGGCAGCTGATTCGTTGTTACGTTTGCCACAGACTGCTTGCTCTACACACATATTATTTCAAGACTATTACATTTTTAAACAACAGATAAAATCTGTTTTTCCTCCATCAAAGAAGGAAAACCAGTATCTCTGCTTCTAGTTTCAAGTTTCTTTCAGGTTGGTGCAGAGCCAGCTGAAAGCTTTGCTCAGAAGCACATTAAGTATTTGAAACAAGCACTGGATGCTTATTTTTTTTTTTCCGTTTGTGTCATTTCTCAGTCAAAAAACCCAAACAGGTGGAGTTCTGAAGTTCATGTTCATTTCATTTGCCTGCTTCCATGGAAGACACAAGACATTTTACTCTTACTTTTAAGTGAAAGAGCAAAGTTATACCTATTCCCTTAGAAGGTAGTAGCCTGTGCTGTTAATTCAGTTCTTGCTGTATAGAAGAGAACTCATTGTGTCCAGATGACTGCCTTGATGTAAAGGGAAGTACTTCCTTATGGAATAACTGTTTTTCTAAGGTTGTGCGTAGTTGCTTTTACATTGTTTGCATTACAATTGAGATACTCATGGCATATACAGATGTTTCCATGCTGGTTTTACTCCTACTAGTTTTGTTATCTGTAACAATTAAGCTGCAGCAGCATGGAGTTAGTTTGCATCCATCTTTATTGGTGCACTGTATCTCCCAGTGTGTATTTAGGGTCTTCCACTCAACAGTCATGAAGGATGTTGAGCCTGAAATTAACTTGTAACAATGCAGCTACTTAAGAATAATTAAAAATATGATTTAGTCTGCTTGAAATTCCTGTGAACAAATCTGTGATTTGTGCTGCTTATGTATAATTTTTGGAAAAAATACTTCTAATGGTTGTCAAAAATATTTTTGACTGGACAGTCAAGTAATTTTAAGTCAGATCTGAGTCCCATCTTTTTTTCCTCTAATTTAGGAAGCAGCTATAAAAATCAACATTGGATTTCTGGAAACTGCCATCTTCTAAGTGTTATGAGCTTCCTTTTTTTTCTTTTTTCCCTTAGCACTTAAAGTAACAAAGATAACACAAGTCATGTAAACTTGTGGTAAACTTAATTAAATTATGTACCTATACAATTGTTTTGTGACAGGAGAGAGCAGCATTGTGTGTTATGATTTGGTTTCCTGGTCTATCCGTAAGGCTGGATAGACTGTCTTCTGTGGTCTTACCTCTGCGTTCTACTACTTTACTCCTGCATTTGGCCATGGTGTGGCTGTTGTATATTGTTTCTGCCTTGAATGTAATTGGAGAAGGTTCAGAAAACAGATTCCTGTTGCTAAAACACTGGAACCAGGTGCTTTAAAGGTCTGTGAAACTCTGTCCTTTCTCTTATCCCCTCAAACTTTCTCATTTGACCTGCAAGCCTTTATAGGGGACAGAAATTTGATAGTATATGACCCCTTGACTTGGCAGAAAAATAACTTAGTACAGGCCAGTGGGACCGAAGTTTGCTTTGTTCTATAATCTTTTTTTAGATTTTTTTTTTATTTAAGTAGACTGAACCACATCTATTAGACTTGAAGTACAAGATGCACTGGGGAAGTGCCTGTGTTGTAGCAGAGATCAGACTAAGTGATAACAGCAGGCTCATTCTGATGTGATCTGTTAGTAATTACAGACTTCACTGAATAGTTATATTTTAGGTATTGAATAAGCTTCAAGCAGTTACTGAGATGATGGCTTCTTACAGGTATTACTATGGAAAACCAACTTCGATTCATGTGATTATAAAGAAGTTCTTAAACACCATATTAGAAGAACACATGTTGACGATCCTCCTCATCTTCTTGATATTTACCCAAGGTCACCTCACCTCCATGATGAAAAACTTCAGTCAGTTGAGGTGAGTGCAGTAACTACTCTAATATAGGAAACCAGACCTTTTGTCAACACTATCTGTCAAACATTTATGGTTAAATGTGTTCTATGTATACTGGAGAGCTTTTTGTTATGTATAATACTTGGGAAGTGATGATACCTTAAGAATCCACATTAAGGTTACTAGGCTAGCTGATGTCAAATTTATCTTGGTACATTCCTTTCATGCTTCTTGTGTAGGTCTGTACTCTACACATGATTTAAACTAAACATAGGCAATATTCTGATTTATGCTGAAGCAACATGTCAAACTGTTGCAGAAGATATCTGAATCTTTAGTGAGCTTTAGGATACTACTCAAAATATATTATTATAAGCAGGACAAGGTGGCGTTATTACTGAAAGTCAAATTCTTGATTGTAACAAGTTGTCCCTCTTTCCAAGACCTTTATGTATTGTGAGAAGATCTTGATGTCTGTCGAAGTTTAGAAAGCCTTTCTAAGCTAGTAGCATGTTTTATGTCACTATAGAATAGTAGGTCTGTGTAGTCTGATTTTTCTGATAATTTAATTCTGCAGCTACTTTATTGTCAAACCTTCTACCAGCAACCCTTGGCAGTATTGGGAATTAGGAAACCAGAGTGAAATGTCAAATATTCTATCAGTATTTGGAAAATCCTTGTTTGTCAGGTTGTCTGAAAGCCATGCTAAATAAGTAAACAGTACTATGCCTTAGACAAGACCGTTGTCTCGTCCAACAATTATGATTCTACGCTAAAACCCCGGGGATGTGTTTATGACTGCCCTTGGTAGAGCTCGATACCTTCTGCATGGTGATTACCTGTACTTTTATTTCTTCTTTGGTATTCTCTAGTTAATCTAGTGTCCAAGACCTGTATCTGATATAAATCCAGGAAATTTTTGGTTGCTGCTATATGCTAATAGAGTCCTATAGAAATTCATCATTACCCGTTTTTTGTTCAAATAAAATGCAAATACTGCTGTCATGACACTTGTTTTTTTTCTCAGACTTTTAAACCATTGAGATTTGTGGATATTGAGGGGTTTGTGTGTGTGTATGCAATAACAGTAGTATGAAGATTGAAAGTATTTTGGTGGATGTAAGGAACCGTGATATAATCCATCATTAAGTATTTTCATGTGTCTGGGTTTCTTGTCTAGTTGGATGTGGAGGTGATGCAAAATACTTAGCATTTTGGTCAGAACAAGAGCAGGGCATCTGCATGTGTGACAAGCTTCATCAACTTCTCTGCTAGACTGTCATATTCGTTGTAAGGTAAATGAAGGAAATTAAGTTTCCCAGTAGCAGCCTTCAGTATAGGTGGTCAGTGCTGGAACAAACTTAGTCACAGCATTTGCCAGCAGATTTAAACCACTCTGGCTGCATCAACAGTTCGCTTCAAGACCCATTCAAATAGTACCCAGTTATAAGATGTGGTAAACATACGGTAGCTTATAGCTGCAGGGTTCAGCTGCTTTCTTTTCAGGTCAACTTTTCCAGACCTCTGCTGCTCAGCTGCTTGGCAAAGGTGTGAGTATTCTCTAAAGCAATTTTCCAGATACTTTTGCTTTTGTGTTTCCTCAGTCGTTGAGAAGCTCTGGAAAAGTGTTAATGAGTTCAGGCTAAAATTAAACTAAAGCTAGGAAGCATCTCATTACCAATACTGAAAAGGCATATAAAGGAAATTTTGATAGTTGAATGTCACGATATTATTTATCAGTTAACTTTGACAGATGTCACTTAACCTAATGTCTGCATTTTTTCACAGCTGTAACACTTGTAGCAGCTTACAGGGTTCTGGCTTAGCTGCTCTGTAGTAGTGAAAGGGCTCTGACTTTGTCATTTGCATTAATGAAGTTTTGGACTTTTGTGGTATATTTTCTGGCCTTATATCAGAATTTTAAGAATCAGGTTGCTGTGTTTAGTTTTCTATTAACATCACATTATCTGTAGAATATCTTGCTCTCAAATAAACGTGAAGTATATTATATTACTTGAGACAGAACAGTGTCTATAGTTCCAACAAAACTGATTTTACTGTAATGTACTAGATTTTTATATTTGTAAATTAAATAATAATTAGGATCTCTTTTGCAGCTTATTTTCAGAATTAATGTCATAATGTAATAGATCAGACAGTGTTAAAGTCAAGTTATCAAGTTCTGTTGTTACATATGTTGGGTTTTTTTCCTTTTTTACTGCCCCTCCTGTCTGTCTCAACAACTACAGAGTTTTTTGTTGTGGTGAGGAAGAATAGACCTCACCATCTGGACAGAGACATAATTTATCCAGGCAAAACTAGTGTCAGGTTACTACCAGCAGTAACATGCTTTAGTGGCACTAACTACGCTTGAAATTTTTCAGTGCTCCATCTTTTAAAATATTTCCTCCTGTAACTGGAAGAAACCAGTATTTCTAGCCCTACTGTGCTATGCTGTACTCAGGACAAGAAAACAAGAAGAAAAATACTTTTGTTCCTCTCTTCACAAACATACTTGTTTGGTTTTTTTTACCATGCCAACCTCTTTCTAAGCAACAGGCAATAGAGAGAATTTTAGCAATAAACAGTTCCACTGCAACACCACCCTCATCTTTCTATGGTTCTTCATGTTTCAAATACACCAGGGAAAGGAGGAATTAAATCACAGACATGTAAGTTAGAGGGAGGTGTTGGAGATCATCTAGTCTTGTTGCCAATGGTACATCAAGTTAGCCGTGGCCATGTCTACTTAGGGGGCCTTGAAGAGGGATGGGGATTCCCCAGTCTCTCTGGATGGTCTATACCACTACAGTGCAGCAATTCTAATGATGGAGTTTTTCCTGGTATTTCATCCGCACCTCACATAAAATGCAGAACTACTTGCTTTCTGTTTATTTTCTTTTTCAAGAGGAACCAGGGGAAGATGATTGATCTTAATTAAACTGAAGTAATAGTATTTTAAGAAACTTGGTAACATATGCAAGAGTTACAGGCAGGCAGAGCAGGCAGTTCAAATATGAGGTATTTAAAAGTATAAATGACCTTTTAAGGTTTACTACAAGCCACTACAATGTCATCTAGACACTTGAGATGTGTTATAATACATTGCCCTGAGTTATGCTGAGCTGGTTAAGTCTAGTCTCCTCGAACACAAAATGTTCAACAGATGTGCAGGTAGAACTCGAGGGAAATAATTCCATCCATGCTTTTTTCGTTCCTAATGTTTCATGCCTCTCCAGGTTTCTTACTGCTTTTGGGTATTTGTTGTTTCTCTTATCCCTGCTTTCCTCAATGTGGCAAGGTCTCTGTTATTCCAGAACTTGATTCTGGGAAAATAGTACACACAAAATGGAGGTAGCTTTGCTCAGAATTTAGTCAGCTGGGTTCAGAGACAGTTGTAGTGTTTTCACCAGCTGGAAATGCTGTTATGAACAAAACAGTTTGCACGAGGGCATTAAGAACTGCCTGGTATTTTGCCTTCAGGATGGTGACTGAAATGTGGAGCTTGAGTGTACTTTAACCTTTTCTCAGAACTTTTCCTTATTCACTCTTCCAAGCTATGCACAAAGCCAGTAATATTTAAGATACCTTCTCTAGTTTTTCTCTCTCCCTGCCTACTGTTTGAAGCATAATTAAGTTTTACAATAAATTCCTTACTTGTATCTCCTCCTCTGCAGACCAGCAGTGTTTAACGCAGTGTTAAATTTCATGTTCTTGACTTATAAATTTTTATAACTGTTCTCCAACTGCACTGATCAATGTGATTCTTGAATATTCAAGTAAATAGAGGTTTAAAGCTTATAGTCATTACAATTATTCAGACAATTTGGAAATATAAGTAAATGATTTGTTCTCTGAAGGTGCCTCCTTTTTCCCATTGACCATAGAGGTAATCTTGGGTGACCAGCTCAAATACAGGTGTTTAGCAGTATGTCTAAATTTAACTGAGAGAAATCACAGTCATTGTTTCTCTTTGAAATAAGGAGCTTTTGGAGATATTTGAAAATAGTATGTTTAATGAGTAATACAGTTTTAGTGAAATATACTAAAAGGAATGCATTTCACTTGGTGACAGTTGTATATCTGGATTTCCTATGTACATAATTAATCTTTCATATACTAGAGACCTCTTTAAAGTGGATGGAAGATAGAAATAATGGTTTCCTTTAAAAACACAGCATTGAGGTTTGAACATATTATGTGTAGAGTTTGTATCTTGAGCATGAAATGCTACTGGTGATTTAGTTTCATCTTAAAAATTTCAGTGTAATTTCAGTTGTAAATATTTTCTTAGATGAAGGAAATCCAAATATACGCTAGGTGGCAGTAGAAATATGAATATATGGCCTACGTGATTTGGGGGCTCCAGTCTAGCACAAAGACCATAGTTTAATCAAATTGAAAGCTAAATTTCTCTTGGTATGTTTGGAGAGACAATTTCACAGCTAGCTACATTATTTTCCTAGGAAATACTTTGTATGAGTCATTTAAAACTTCCTCTTTTAATTTTATTAATTTTTAGTTTTTTGAGATGACACCAATATCTTATGAAATGCATTATGAAAATAAAGTGAAGGGTGGGCTTTGTTTGAGGTTGGATATACTTTATTAAAATCAACAGAGGGATATCTGCAGGGGCATAATCATTTACTTAAAGCATATGGCTGAGAATCACATGCTTAGTTGGGACTGCTGCTTTTGTTCCTCCTCT